TGTGTATGACACTTGCTTTGAACCTGTCCTATTTTGAAATATAAATAATATTTGTTTGATAGCCTGTATGAATATGAAAAAAGGAGTATCCTTTTGGTTATGTCAATTGATATTGATGTGAAATGGGATTCTATAAGCATAAGTAAAATATTATTAGTATCATAGGGTGATATATTAGATAGAATAGATAATGTCTGAAGTGATCTTTAAAGGGGCAATATCCTTCCTATTTTTTTATTCTGATAAAACAAGAAATTACAATTTCACAAGAATTTAATTTTCAATTCAATACATCTCTGGCAGACAATTTCAATTATATGAAGAAGGATTAAATCATTTATATTAAAAACACAATATATTGAATATAATTTGAATGAATAAGATTTTATCAAACAATATTGTTTTATAAGAATCCCGTTACGATGGCTTTGCCTTCTTGGCAGATTACATGCAGACCATAGAACATACATACAACGGACGCCGTCGCACAAGCAACCCTTGGGGCACAGTTACTCCTACAATGTCAATTATGCCAAGTGGAAGTTTGCTTCATTAGGTATACGCAACCTTGTGTGATCCGGCCTTTATCGTACGTGGTTTCGTGGTCATATAAAAATGTTGGTCATTGATTTTTATGTCTCTGGCTGAAAAATGAAAGGTAGCTGACATACCTGTGCCTAGACGAGCCTTTATTATTATAATAATTTCATAGGCTTGGCTTGGAGGAAGTAGGTATGTTTGAATGAATTTGGAAAGCTGAATATATCCTGAGGTTTTACTAAATGTTTTTCTCGATCCATCAGGTATTGTTTCAGTGATGCACTTGTTATTTATGGTTCCTGTTGGTTTTCTTCTAACCCAATTTTTACAAGGATTCTGGTTTCATTTAAAAAGTTTGATGATTCTGTTTGCTTAGTGAAGATGTCATGTTGAATTTGTCGAAACCCTTGAATAACTAGGCCATTGTCAACAGCACATTATCCCTCTTGAGATTGAGAACATTTACTTTATCATGGGTCGTGGTTTTATAACAATAGATATTGTATCCATGTATTTAACATCAATGAGAAGGATGTTGTATTAGGGTTGGTTATCCCCTTCCTGTTCATGTCATAGAATGGAAGAAAAGACATGATTTCAAATCAATTGTATGAGTTTTGTACATCAGAGGTTTGCAGTAATCTGATTGCTCAGATTACAAATGCTTTATTTCAGATGATGGAGGAGAGGGAATATTTAGCTAATTATCTATAATAGTATATCAAGAGGCATTTAAAGTAGTTGTTACCCTAAGTTAGTGTATTAAGTAGTGACATATCCAGAAAGATTTTACAATGAAGGAAGAAATTCTGAGAAAAATACAAAAATGTTGCGACAAAATGTTGTTGTATACTTCAGCAACATGAGAACTATTGCTTCAAAAAGGGGCATGGGCCATTTGGTCCACTCCCTCCCCCTTTACCAATGATATTCAAATTTGTATACAATATAGTTTCATAATATCTCTGATAAGTCTGGCTCATTAAGCACAAAAACAAGACTCTATCTTCACTATCTCTATTTCTGTTCTTCTTTATGCCTTTAAGAATGAGTGGGATAACATAATTACAAGAAGAAAAAAAAGGGGGAAAACCATGTTCCATAAGAGCAAGAGGTTAACTTGAATCATGAGTCAGTTTCCTTCATGCTCAGCATACTGAGACTGAGAGGGTATTGAGGGGTAAAGATTTATAGCTTGCTCCAATCTTAAGAAAGATTACTATGGGTATCATATTAAGCCTATATGATAGGTACTCCTCCCCTAATCGAAGACCTCTTGTATCTACAGTTTCCCCCTTTTCTGTGGCAATATGTTTCTTTTCCTTTTTCTCTTTATAGGATTATTTTTCTTTGTGCTAATCCTTTTTTGTATGATAGTAATGTAGATGATTGTTTCTTTAACAAATTTTGATAAAATGTCTTCAAAATGTTGACCCAATTGTGTTGTAATTACATCTCTCTTTCTTTTGAGATTTTATTCTGAAAAAAATCCATATCTTTTCTCTTGTTATGAAAGTTATCTGTTCTTGTTCATAACTTGCTGTTTAACTTGCTGTTGTTTATTAGAACCAAAATCATTCTCTCAACATTCATACACATTAGCTCTGCACTGAGTTTCCATTGCTAGAGTAGAAGCCATATTTCACATTTTTGAGAAGTATAGACTTTAGGCATAGACCCATTTCCCCCATCATCATCATCATCATCATCATCATCATCAGTACAGTCTAGCAAGGCCTTACTGTGGTTGGCTGTCATGCTTGGAAAGTTTCCACCAATGAGGCGTCAGAATACTGTACCCGCCCACTCACAGTCAAGCTCTGTGTGTATACACTATGCATGCATGCACTCCCCCAGCAGAACAGAGTACTCACACACACACACTGCACAGTGTGGCATTGAATTGGAATTCCCCACCATTTACGCTTGGTGCATAGAGCGTGTGGTTTTGGGATCGGTTATCCTTGGAAGATAATTCTTCTCTTCTTTTATATTTTTGTTCTGGCTCTTTATCAAACTGTCACCCAGCTATTGTAAACCAGTCTACTGTATGGTGTTGGTGCATCAACACAAGGAGCTATAGCTGTGCAGCCAGAAAACTCATTTTTGGGGTGAAAACCCACAGTTAATTCTTGGAATTTAATGGAATTTTTCTTGTGATGCTGCCAGATTTTAGATCCATCCCAGGATATTCAACTTGAACTGAGAATCATATTTGCATAGCTGATTATTACCTTCGCATGGACTTGTTTATTCTCTATCTACATCGATAGCAGCATCCAGTTGAGATTTGTGTACTACATGCCTTGAAGGTTGACCGGAAACGCTTTGCTTTGGACTTTGTCTTTGTACACAATTCAAAGTACTAACATGAGACCTTGTAAAATATCTTTGAAGATCATAGGTTTCTGATTTTTCAGCTGGATACGGTACTCATTAGAGGAAGAGTACAGCTATATAGTTTGATCAGGGAGATATACCCCTGACCCTGGTAAGAGCTACCAAACGCATTGGATCTGAACTAAGTAGCATTAGTCTTCGGTAGTTTCTTCATGCCCTGATCAAATTTTTCTGCTTGAAGGCTCATGAGGTGACGCCTAAATCACTGTGGTTTTCTATGGATTCAGCGTGGAGCTGTATTATGTGCTTCATGACACACAAGCCTATAAACGACGTCTAACCTCAAGAGAGCTCCCCTCTTTCCATGTCTCATATCTGTGCTTTCGTTTGGGACAAGCCTCATCATTTTCGCCTGGCTTCCCTCAAAAGTGCGCCACTAAATTCCATATCTTCAATATTTGTCATCGCTTCCCAAAGGCTTCCCGAAGGCCAACGAGACACCGTTTAACGGGAGGCAGCGTATCACCATAGCGATCTCACGATCCATGTCACCATCTCACACAGAAGCCGACGGAATCACAGATTAAAATCTCTCTTCATTTCCTATCATTTATAGGAGGATATGGTATTTACAGAGGCTTTTATGATATCGGAGTCTCAGGTTCAGGAAATCAACTTTAAAATCTGCGTTGACAGGTCTCTAATCTTAAACTAGGAAGCATCATTCAAGAAAGACTTCAGTTTTCATCAACTTCACATTGCAATTTCTACAAACCCTATCTTTGCTTAAATTTTTCAAGACCACAGCAGCTAACTTTATTCTTTAGTCATATCTTCCTTTGGTAACTTTAAACAGTGGGTTCTGATTTGAAGGCTTGTCTTCGCTCTGTCGCTTCTGGCCTAGAAGAAAGTCCTTTGTTCAAGGGGAGATTTCGACACCAGTGAACTTCTGCTGTCGTTGAACTTTTTGTGGCTATACTTACTTAGTAACCTCATTAAAATCAGCAAGACATAGCCCCTGGGGACATCTCCTTGTTGCTACAAGTCCCTGCCTATTGGCTTTATGCATAGCCATTACATATCTAGCCTCCAGCGAAAAGCTAATTAGTTGCTATTCTCAGAAAGTTGAGCTTCACCAGTAATAGCGTCTCATCACCCTACTCTGGATTTTATCTTTTGGAAATAAAAATATTGACAATCATTTGCTTGAAGTTTTTGATTTATTGAGCATGCTCTTTTCGTTTCAACGATTTGTCACATAATTCTTGATTCCACTCATTTTCATCCAGAAAATGTCTAAATCTGTGTGATCCTCTATAAGTATCTGACAGCCCCTAGATCCACAGTGATAGTTTTGGCATGTAATATCTACAGGAAGTACGAAGGATACACATCTGTCATTTTGTTATTTGTGCTTATAACTTGAAGCAACGCCTGTCGTTGTTGCTCTCTGCATAACTAGAGTTTTATTGGAAAATTGTCAGGATTTGATTTGATCGCATGGTCTGAAACAGTTTGATTAATTGCGTTCTGATGGATTGCGTTCCTTGTCTCAAGGTGAAGATAATTGTATTGATTTGGAAAGGAATTGTAAGATTGTGCACTTGCTGTTTCTCGGCGGTTATCCGGATGTGACGTCAGAGAGCAAGAGCAAGTGAGCAACTAGACAGAGCTTAATTTTTAGAGCATTAGCATGTGAGGTTTCACTGAATACCCAAGTTTACACAAATTCAGTTTGAAGGAAAACTTTTTGAATTTGAAGAGTTGTAGAGGTAAAGGCTGGTAGTACATTTCAACATGGCAAACAAAAATTCAAACGCATGTACGACGGACAACGATCCCGATCCGTTTGCCGAACTGGAAATGTGGGTCAAAAGGTTAACGAACTATGACATCACGTCGTCATTCAGCCCTTCCCTGGACATCATCCCGGAGAAGAAGTCGCCGCAGATTGACGAGACCGACCAGGACTATGAATTCCTGGACGAATTTGAAGAGGTCGAGAGTCGGCTGGCCGAGCTGACCTTTGAACTTTCACCTGTGGTTGTGGAAGGTGAACTTTCACCTTTGATTGTGGAAGATGAACATGATAAAGATAGTGGGTATTCTTCTATTTACAGTGAGGGACAATTGCCGAGCCCTGGCGGACTATCGGGAAAGGGCGGCCTCAACGGCAGCGTAACGCCACCAACACTCAGCGGGAGAAGCACACCCTCAAATTTCTACTACACGCAAAAGTTATCACCCTATGGCAGTTCAAGTTCATTAGCTGGTAAGTTGATTTCATTTTTTAAATCAATTTTATCCTTAAAACTGCAATCACAATTAGGCATTTAAAAAAAGATGTTGTAATGCCCTTTGCGACCGACCAAAAAATCTTGTAAGCTACGGTCGACTTTTAAAACATTTTGTTTTTAAACCATTTTTTAGAGAAAAAAAATGTTTAATGTTTGATATGTATTAAATCATTCAAAACTGAGAAATATCAGCCCAAAGAGGGAGGGAAAAAAAGATTTCTGACCAACCGACCCATGTTATGGCACCTAAAGGGCAAAGCAACATCTTTTTTTAGGCCTTATTGTTATGATCATACTTCTAGTAAAGTATTATATTGTCGCTGTTTTCACGAAGTGACGGTAGTGAAAAAAAATTGCATTCACTTTGCGTTACGATTTTCCTCGCTACCGTCACTTCGTGAAAACAAGGACGATATGTCTGCAATTGGGGTGACAGGTACATGTAGTAGCTATATCATGTAAGATTTATATAACAGCGATAAATAAATTGTTGCATATATTTCAAAAAACAAGATTGCCCTGCTGAGCAGCAATCACAATGTGATATAATTTCAATGAAATTTTACAAGCTATATATTTTTTTTACTCACTTGAAGCAGTGAATATAGTTGATTCACTATATCCAATTCTTTTTGTAATGGCTCTACTCTATTCAAACTGTAATCCATAGTGATTAAATCATCAATGGATTGACATTTTCTTAATGCGAAGTTCAATGCGAAAACGTGTCATACAAAATCAGTTCGGCCACATCGCCCAAACCCATTAGCCGTGAAATTCAATTTCCTCAAACGCTAATGCTCTCCCCAAAATCGTAGAATATAGATGTGAAAATTGTCCATTTTGTTTTCAAACACGTCCCTTCCCCATTGGTAGCCTTCTTTCTGTGGGTTTTATTTGGGAAAGCGGTCGATCGAGGGGTTGAAAATTGAAATTGCGACTGCCGCATCTCGTGAAACAGTTAATCAATTTTGTCAAGCTAATTTGTAGATCCATTCCCAAATTGTACCACATTTGTCGATTCCGAGTTTGTCTGCTCCTACCTCGTTCTAATGAAAGAGATATGTTTCAAGGGTAACGGACTTAGCGTGATCTATTAGATGTATATCAAGGTCACGTGTATGTAGGATTCTGGCTTTGATGGACTCTAATCGTTGTTGAGCTCGATGTCCGATGTCCGTGTACTTGCATGACCATGATCATCCATTTGTGGGATGGAGTCGTTTAAACAAACGATACCTCTCACAGGATTCACAAAAACAAGCAGCATGCTACAATTTCAGTTGCAAGCTTTTTACAATTGTTGACACATTTTAGTCTTGGCATAAATAGTTGAGGGGATTGAGAATTTATTTCTTTTAATATTACTTCTGATATTCAGAAGGGTATTATCTGATATCATCTGTTAAGATCCAGAAGGGCGTTACTTGTGTAGTTTTACATAGAGTTAATGCACATCTGGCTCTGTATACAGACAATAAACTGCTACATGGTCCACAAGTTGACATTATTGATTTTACCAAACCAAAGAGATCTATACACTACATGCAGATAAATTCCTTGTTTGTTCATGAATTGTAAAAACTGTTCAGTTGTGTTGTAGTATAGAAGATAATAGAAACGAAGAATAGATGCTTTATACAAGGGTTAATGGATTGAGGGCATAGGTCATTGACTTGTTAAATGGATGACAAATAGAAAGGGGATCGCTCAATGATCTCTTGATCTGTGTATTCAATGTTTGTAATAGACAGTATTGTTATATTGATGGATTTTGTGATTGATATCTGGGGATCATCCATTTTTAATTCTTTGAGATGTTTCTGTCTATGTTGGTTTGATCGACCATGACTTTATGCGTGATGAAAAGTTGAGAACATGGGTTGAGTTTTGATTGACATTGTGATATGAATTGCATGGTATGTATTCAGATTATATGATATGATTGAATGAAATACATGTCGTGATTGAGTTCAAGCCGTATATCAACAAACAGATGAGCCCGATCTGAACTTATCAGATAATTTGCAGAAGTTGTTTGAAAGTAATCATTGGGGATGGAATATACATAAGCTGATTTAATTATCGTCAATGTTTGCAGTAAGATCTATGAATAAACAGATAAATGAAGGGAATACTGACAGTATGGGAAACTATGCATGTAACATAACAATATGAGATTAAATGCCTTAAAAGTTTGGGGGAGGGGCAGCTTTCTTCTAAAATAAAGGACTAACAGCATTTCCATGGTTTAGACATACGTTTTGTTGATGGTAGTACATACAAAAGAGAATCCCGATGTACATGTATATCAAGTTAAGGACTCCAGTCGATCCACAAATCTACACGTAATACCTTGGGAGTAAATATTCAGACCCATCTTCAAATTCCTCCTCCTCCTCAAAACATCTCGGCAATTTCCTCCATTACTTGATGACATGTAAGAAGATGAATGATGGCCCTGCCCACTCCTTTCAAAGCACATCTGGAAAATCAATTAGAATTGTAAGAAATAGGCTATTCTTGAGTGTCAAGATCAACTACCGAATTTCAGGAACGGCTCCTTAGGGGGAAAACAATACTTGGAAGTGAAAAGCATAATTGATAGTTTTGAGATACAAAGTGAGGTTTTGGGAAGACAGTCAGAAGGGCTAAAGGGAATTGGAGGGGGGGGGGGTGTAGTTCTGGTTTGTAGAAGTGGGATCACATGTTTTCAGTAACCTTCTTGAACATGGATACCCATCTCTTACCACCCCCCCCCCCCCCCCCCCAGAAGAAGAAAAAGTTGGAAGTTTAGCTGGAAGACCTTCATTTTACAGAGATTAAGTGAATTCTCAAATTGCCCATTAGTCCTGTAATAGTTCTCAGAAGTTATTTCTCATTCATTTCCTCCTAAAGCAACAAACAGGTTATCAAAAGTAGCAATCTCTCGGGCATACAAGAAAAATTAGGTGTCAATCTGTTCAAGTTTCATTCTTCTGAACTTCACAACACTTTGACACAAGTCTACCCTGAATGCTCACACCCATCAAATTAGCCGGTTTTGATTTTCAAAGTTTAGCAAGTTCCTGTTGTTACTCAGGACGTCGTGTTAAATCTCCTTTTACAAATTTGCTCAAGTTCTTTACCACAGTTACAAGGCTGAGTTGTTGACCAATATGCTCAGGGTTAAATCCCTTGGTGTAACAAGCTTTTGACCAGTTGAAGCTTGACAAGCAAACGCTTGAACTGACACAGTTTCACAGTTACTTGCTATTTTTATTCCTGTACAAATTTTCTGTCTTGAAGTATCCATGTTCAAGAAGGCTTGTAGATCCAGTTTTAATAGCATTCTTGCATGCATATCTGGAGTTATGTTGTGTTCAATAGTAATGTCTCTAACTGAAATACTATGATGTATCAAGATTGCATTCCTACATGTGCAGTAACATTTATTTTATAACAAGAAACCATTATTGTCAGAAACATTACAGAAAATAAGACACTTTTTTATTATTTAGAAAAAAAGAAATGAACACTGCAAACTGATCAAAATGCCACAAATACACAATTTCTTAATTATCTACTTCTCAAAGTTGTACATTATTGTTTTTTGCATCAAAAATCATAATAGTATCAAGCAGAACTTTGAAAAACATGAGGCACATAATATTTTCATAGAGTTAGATAAGTCACCTTTTATCTTCTGTAATGTGAGAGATAATGAGGAGTGTAATGAGGAATCATATTTCTTCTTGAACTTTTCCAACAGACCTGCATGAAATATATCCCCTAATGACTTGTCAAAGCAGTGCAGTAGTCCAGGAATTATCTTATCTATTTTCAGTACTGATTACAGATTAATTGTCAGAGAGTGGTCTGAGAAAAAACAGATCTATATTTGAGATTGATTTCTGCCATGTTGATCTGCTGGAGACATTAACCACACCCACACACACACACAAACAAAAGAGTAGACATGACATTATCAAGTTTGTTTGCAAGGTAACATGAGCATTGTTTGCCTTCTAATTACTGGTACAAGTTTTATCGGCCAGAACAGCTATAAGGCTTTAAGTCTTTGAAGGTACATGTATGCACTTACTCCCTTCTGGCACTCAGTCATGTTAGTAGTATCTGGACCTCTAGGAAGAACAGAGCCATTTTAATAATGGCTCTGAATAGAGCTTTCCAGCCGTTTTTTTAAATTCTTGATTTGTATTATTTGTAAATTGTATTCTTGTATGTATTGAATTTTTATACGGAAAATAAAACCAAACCAACCAAACCAAGTAGACAATATAAGGCTTGCTTCATCAGACCGAAGTTGCAAAATAACCTGCTACCGTATTTTCCCAAAGCTCGAAATTGATAGGCTCATCACAAACTAGATGAAGACGGGTGCAAATTAGCCCGCAATTTCCCAAATAGCAGGGTTTTTTGGAAACAATTAAGACCAAGATTTCTCCGGATATTTTCTTGATCAAATAACCCGCTAATTGCATTGCAACTGCGGACTGATGAAGACGCAAATTAGCTGGCTAATTTGGGAACGGGCTAGTTAAGATAGCGGGTTATTTTGCAACTTCAGTCAGATGAAAATAGGCCTTATGACTTGATGTACATTACTTGACCCATTTATCCTTATTGAAGAGGATATAGATTGAAGCTGGTGACAAGGATATTTTTATTAGGATTTTAGAAAATAAGTTTCAAGACTATAAAATCAAGTCTGAATTTATTTGAAATGAGATTAGAGAAAATCTAGGTAGTCAGTCAGTTCAACATCTTTTTTCTTTTTTTCAAATTGCCTGCATTTATTATTTGTGTTTGTTCTATCCAAATCAGTCTTCACCAGTGAAGTTAAGATATTAGCAATTTAAATTCAATTCAGTTCAATACAATACTATATAAACATTTCGAGCAAAATGGCGAAATATGCTTAGAACTGTCATTAAGTTGTACATAAAGCCATTCCAGTTATACATCATCCAAC